TTTTCCTAATTTGAATGATAATCTTTTGCACACTTTTAAATTTTTAAACATTTTTTAGATTACAGGTATGAATTGACATGACACAAGCGTTAACTTTGTCGAGATTACATTTTTTACAAGTATTATTTTAACTAGAGGTTTTAATGTTGTTTGAGAAAGATAACTTTCTGACATAGAGCAAACTTCAAATTTGAGTGTAGTTAAGGTTATATCAAATGCTATATATAAAAATGCATAGATTGGAGCCTCGGAACAACAAAACCGTCTCATTTTGAGGCGTTTGTAAAGTTGTGAAACTTTACATGGAACCTTACAAGCACTAAAATATTTTTAGATGAAATTTAAAGATATTCAATGGATATAAATTTTTATTAGATTAGTAATAGTATAAAACTCAGTAAATTGTTAAACTAGTGTTTTTAATAAAAGGGGAGGGGAAACACAAGTTTTTGTTTTATTTTGCAAAGCACGCTCGTTTGATTTTAACATAAAAATACCCAAGTTTAAAGTTTACTTCATGTTATCTTTCTCAAACATCAAAAGGTTGTCGAAATCCCTGTTTAGCTACTTTAACAGTTCATAAACTTTATCTTATTTTGGTAAATTTTATAGTTAAGAAAGAAAAACTTAGTTAATTTTTTTTTCATACTCATTTTATAACAAAATTTTCCTAATGTACAACCAAATTGAGCATATACATGCTTGAGGTGCATTGTTTACCATAATCGTATTTATTACTAAAGCACTTAGGTACTTTAGACATAGATATAGAATCTAATTTTAATTAAAAGCAGTCATAACAAATAAAATTTGTCTTGTTAAAATTAGACATAAAATTTCTAATGAGAAATCAATAGTTAGACTTGTCCAAATAAAGGAGTTAAACAGTTATGAAAACCAAATTTGTTTTAAATTTATCAAGTCATAAATGCCTCTAAAAATGATGTCAAACATACGCACCTTGTACACGCCTTAACCATTTATAATTTTACAAATTTTATGCAGCAATGGAATTTAACGATGTCGGCCCATCAGTTGACGGTCCATATTATTGCATAATGGTTAAAGTTTTTTCGTTATTAGACTAGCTTAATGTATAAAAACGTATTAGAACTACTTATGTATAAATGTAAAACACAATTAATAAATTGAATTGTATGTTACCAAACATTATATATATATATATATATATATATATATATATATATATATATATATATATATATATATATATATATATATATATATATATATATATATATATATATATATATATATATATATATATATATATATATGTATATTATTATCTATATTATATATATATATATATATATATATATATATATATATATATATATATATATATATGTATGTATATATATATATATATGTATGTATATATATATATATATATATATATATATATATATATATATGTATGTATATATATATATATATATATATGTATATATATATATATATATGTATGTATATATATATATATATATATATATATGTGTATATATATAAATTATATATGTATATGTATAATTACATATATATATGTATATATATATAAATTATATATGTATACATGTATATATATGTATATATATAAATATGTATATATACATATATATGTATATATATATGTATATATAAATACATATATATACATGTATATGTATTTATACATGTATATATTTACTTATCTACTTTTTAATGCTATTCACTATAATGTTTTTCCATCAGTACCTACTTCCTGATGAACCTACTGATGGGGAAGCATTATGTTGTAGAGCACTAAAAACTAGATAAATGTTTTTACTAAATTATTATTGCTCTGTTTTTTAAGAACAAAGCAATAATAATTTAGTAAATATATATATATATATATATATATATATATATATATATATATATATATATATATATATATATATGTATATATATATATATATATATATATATATATATATATATATATATTATATATATATATATATATATATATATATATATATGTATATATATATATATATATATATATATATATATATATATATATATAATATATATATATATATATATATATATATATATATATATGTATATATATATATATATATATATATATATTTAAACAATTTTAAAATGTGTTCTACAAAATAGAGTGCTCAATGTTCTTAAAAGAGCATAGCAATTATAAATTAGTAGAAAATCACTTAACAAAAATTTTTTTTCATTTTTTTTATATTATATATATATATATATATATATATATATATATATATATATATATATATATATATATATATATATATATTTAAACATATATATATATATATATATATATATATATATATATATATATATTTAAACATATATATATATATATGTATATATATATATATATATATATATATATATATATATATATATATATATAATTTTATTTTTTTGCTTGTTGCACTCTTGTCAGTGGAGGCTTTATGAGGGTTGATAGATATATACATTAGCGTCCAAAAGTTTGCGGACAGGCATGAAAAAGTTAAATTTTATAAATATTTCAGTGCATGCACCACTTAAGCCATCATATTATATACCAATTAAAAGGTTTTCAGGTTAAAAATTAAGTTTTGAACAAATAATGATTATTTAATTAACATTTTGAAATTGTTTTACAAAATAAAGATTTTTTAGAAGTTAAAAAGTTTGCCGACGAACTAAAGCTTTTAACATTTTCACCATAAAATTTGTTGATTTTATAAACAAATACTTTGTGGAAATAATTTACAATCACTTTGTGTAAGTGATTGAGATCATGGGATCTAAGAAATGAATTTTATCTCCAGTGAAAAAATTGATAATGAGATCAGTTCAAATTGGAAATTTGTTTCGTAAAACAGCACAGCTTTATGGAGTTAGTAAGTCTCCTGTTGGGCAAATTTTGAATCGATGTAAGCTTACTAGATCTACAAATAATAAAAATCAATCAGGATAAAAAGCTGTTAATACTTAGCAAAGAAAATCCCCGTTTGACAGCTGTCAATATAAACGTACAAATGAGACATTTCTATGGAAAGAATAGTGTATTTCTACTATAAAATGCTGTATATATCACGCTAATTTATTTGGAAGACGCCCAGCTAAAAAACCATTAATTTTCTTGAAAAACCATTATGCCCGAAAAGAATTTGCATCAGAGCATCTAAATTGGAGTAGTCAATATTCAAAAATTCTTTTTAGTGATGAAAGCAAGTTTATGCTGTTCGGACCCGATGGAATCAGGTATGTTCGACGTCCAGTAGATACAAGATACGATCCTAAATACCAACTGCAAAAAAAAATATGAAGGAGATAGTTTTATGGTTTGGGGATGTTTTAGCCAGAATGGAGTTGGTCCTTTCCATAGAATTACTGAGATTATGAACCAAGAAAAGTACAAAGATATACGTAAGACTATTATGTTACCTTATGCAAAGGATAAAATGCTTTGAGGATGGATATACCAACAGGATAACAATCCCAAACATACAGCCAAATTGGTTTTAAATTTCTTCAAAAAGAGTAAAGTTAATGTTTTGAAGTGGCCATCCCAACTACTTGACTTAAATCCCATTAAACATCTATAGGAACATAATAAAAGTCAAATGAAAGGAATCAAGCCTACAAATTATGCTGATTTATTTAATAAAATCAAGAAAATATGGGACCTAATTCCCATTGATGTTTGCATTCATTTAGTTGACTCTGAGCCTCATAGATGCCAAGCTATTCTTGATTTTAAAGAATATCCTACAAAATACTAATGTCTTTTTGCTTTTGTGTAAGTTTGTGATCAAAAATTGTTGAAAAATTTGTACTATTTAAAAATTTTTTTTTTACACTTATTAAAACTCATTGATTTGTATACCAATTTAAAAATGTTATTTAGATAATTATTATTTGTTCAAAACATAATTCTAAACTTGAAAACTTTTTCAATGGTATATAATATGTTGGCTTTAGTGAAGTATGTGGTGATAAATAAGTAAAATTCTTTTTCTTTTTTCCTGTCTGCAAGCTTTTGAACGCTATTGTATATATCAACCCTCAAAATTCGGGAAAATGAGGTGGGCAAGTGATTTTTTACTGACCTCAAACACTCTTAGGTCAGCTTTGCCGAATGCTGACCTTAATTTCAAGGGTTCGTATATATATATATATATATATATATATATATATATATATATATATATATATATATATATATATATATATATATATATATATATATATATATATATATATACAGGGGCTATTCTAGGAAAAAATTTTGGGTGGCAGTAACCCCTGTCCTGGAGAAATTTAGCGGAAATATTGCTGAATATAGCAGTTTTTTGCAAAAAACAAAACAACAACATTAGCCATAAAAAACGTTTTAAAAAAAAAAAAGGTCTTCAAATTTTAATTTTAGCAGCGCCCAAATACGGTCAACACTGTCAAATATATATATATATATATATATATATATATATATATATATATATATATATATATATATATATATATATATATATATATATATATATATATAAATATATATACACATATATGTATGTATGTTTTTATATATACACACCATATATAGATGAAAAAATCATTGTGTACAGTAAAGTATCCAACATTCCTTGAGTACACCAAAAAACTAGATAAAAGCAAATTCAAAAACTTAAAAATTTTTTCCTCCAAATTTTAATTTTTAATTAAAATTTATAATGATTTATATTTTAAAGTTTATTTACAGTTTTTTGGTTTATTTATAAATTGTTGGTTATAAATTTCTTAAACTAATAACCTCTTGTGATAAATAAAGTTTAAATAATTTTTTAATTTTTTATAACTTACTGCTGCCTAATTTTATATTATATAAAGAAAAAGACTTATAACAATTACACATTAACATTTTTATTATATTTTTTTAATGCATATAAATAACAGAATAAAAATAACTTTTTTGTTTAGGTTTTTTTTTGCCTGATTTTTATTAGTCTTTAATTACAAATTTCATGGCTGACATTAAAATGCTTCTTCAGAATTATGGCTCTGAAAATCAAGAAGATGAGCAGGATGATGATGGTAAATGTTTTAAATATATAAATATTATATATATATATATATATATATATATATATATATATATATATATATATATATATATATATATATATATATATATGTATATATATATTTATATACAGTTATATAAGTACGTATTTTTTATTATAAATGCCTTTAAATAAAAAAATTGTTTCAACTTTATAAAGAAATGATTTAATTATTTTTTATTTTGTTTACATTACTGTTAAGAATTGTTAAGAATCTTTTTTTTTATCTTATAAATGTGCGTATTTATTAAACAATCGTTAGATGTAAGTTGTTACTTTATTTAAATGGGTTTTGCATAATATTATAGAAACATTAGTAAAGATTAACGATTCAAAGTTATTTATTTCAAATGTAATTTAAATAATCTTAATGTTATAGTTTATTATTTATTTCAGGTAAATTTAAATTTTAATTTTTTGATTTTAGTTTAAGTTATTTTTGTTTTATTATTTGTTTGTTTTTTTACTAAGATTTATTTGCTTCTTTTAGAATAAGTTTTTGTTTTAAGTTTCTTTATAGTTAATATATTTTTTTCAGCGCATATTAAAAATGTATACAAATATTCAAAACATCTTAACAGCCATGATCAAGTTTTCAAAATCAAATAGTTTTTGCGTGATCATATTATAGCGTAAAATTGCATGCCTTCCTGGCCAAGCCCAATTGTAAAAAAAAAATTAAAAGCAATAGGTTCCAAGTCATTAAATATCATAAATTTTTTTTAGCAGATCATTAAACAACCATCATGTTTAGAGCTTCTGGACACCAGAGACCATGAAAAAACAAAATTATTAAGCAACCCTGGTATATATCAGCATGTGCTGATATATACGCCATTAGTTTTCACTTTTCATAACATTGACTTTTCCACTTTCAGATAGAAAAGTGAATGTTATGATAGAAAAGTGAAAACTAATGGCGTATATATCAGCACATGCTGATATATACCAGGGATGGTATATATCAGCAAATTTATAGAGTAAAATCAATTATCTCCTGTTTTACCAGCAAGAAAATTCAATTATTAGAATTTCCAGCGCTTTTACCTGATTTAAATCCCATCGAAAACGTATAGGACATCTTAGCAAAACGTGTTTATGCAGAAGGGAAACATTCAATAGTTTACAATATTACTTTTATTTAATTTAATTTACCAATATATTTATATATATATATATATATATATATATATATATATATATATATATATATATATATATATATATATATATATATATATATATATATATATATATATATATATATATATATATATATACAGTGCGGTGCAAATTTATAACTTCACTAAAAGGTCAAGATTTTACAAATATATAAATAATTATTTTTTAATTATTTAATTGCTTAATATCTTACTTAATAAATGTTTCATTTGTAATAGAGTCTGGTTTCATTTTGTTAATTGCCTTAAAATTTTGGAAAAATGATGGTGCTAAATTACAACCTCATTTCTACAAAATTCCATAATGTTTTGTATTGGAATTTAAATTTATCATTAATACTTTGTTTAATTGTGGCCATTCTGAATAACTTCACATATTTGATTTGGAATACATAAATGTTTTCTAAGATCTGCAAGAGATATGTTCTTCCAAACAGGTACGATTGCCTTTTTCAATTCATCGACATTCGAATAATGTTTCCCTTCTGCATAAACACGTCTTGCTAAGATGTCCCATACGTTTTTGTTGGGATTTAAATCAGGTGAAAGCGCTGGAAATTCTAATAATTAAATTTTCTTGCTGGTTAACCAGGAGATAATTGATTTTGCTCTATAAATTGGAGCATTATCTTGCTGGGAAATAAAATTGGTATTACCAAAATTTTGCGAAGTATTATTCAAATGACCATTTAACAAAATTCTATATCCTTCAGCATTTAATTTAGTAGTAATAAAGCCAATTGAATTTTTTCCAAAATATCCAAACGCGCCTTAACTTATTTTTTCTCCGCCTCCCGTAGCCCTTCTGTTTGAAAATATTTTCTCTTTTCTAATATCATGCCAGTAGTAATTGATGCCATTTAGATCATTAAGACTGAATTTTTTTTCATCAAACCACCCAATTTTTTGCCATTCTTTTTCACAAGTCATGTGGTCCCTGGCCCATTGAAGATGTGCTTTTTTTTTTTTTTTTGCATATCTAAGAATGCCTGACTTATTAATTGCATGGTTCACCGTTCATCTTGAGCATTTCAATCCCAAATCAGCACCTATTTGTCTTGCAGAGATTGTATGGTTACTAGCGGCATGCACAATTCGTTGCTGTTGGCAAGCTGTAAATATAGGTTTTCTAGCACTTTGATGCTTCGTGCACTAATTTGATGGATCATTTACGAAATTATTGATCAAATGTGGTGAGCATCTCAGTTTGCAAGCAATTGCCCTGTTTAATAAACGCAATGACTTGTAGGCTTCGATCAAACCTTTTTTTTACCATTGGAGAGTGTAATTCCTCTTGGCATTCGTTAGGATGTATTTTATAATTTTAAAATGTAATAAATTTAATTTGAAGACAGAATTTACTATTTTTTAATGGCTTTTGATGCAATTTAGATAATGAGGTTATAATTGTGTACCACAGTTTTGAACAATTTTATAATTAGAGTTAATTAAAGTATAAATAAATCTTGTTTATTTCAAAAAATTTTTGAAAATTTTTGAAAAATATTTATCTAAATTATTTTGTTAATTTCAAAAAATGATCTACAAATTTAATTTGATTAATAAACTTTGGAAGATAGTTTTAACGTTTCTATACAGGGGAGGTTATAATTCTGCACCTCACTGTATATACAGGCCTTGTTTTAAATAAAAAAGTGCTTAGTACATAAAATTTTCTTTATTTTTTTTTTATAGATGTTAAATGTTTTAACTACCGCAATAAATAAATAACTGCTAACTAGTTCAATTTAACAATTAACTCAAATAACTATAAACGTTTTAAATGTAAATATATTATAAAAAGTTTGTTATGTTTTCAATTGTTATTCTAATATTAATTTTAGTTCAATATTATTTAAAAATATATATATACAGGCCTTGTTTTAAAGCGTTACGCCTAGAGCGATTTACGTACGCCTTAAGCGCTTTTTACGTACGCGTAGAGCTGTTTTGGTTAAGCTACTTTTTATCGTTTTTTAAATTAGCGGTAACATAAAAGAAGTAATTAATTTTAAAAAAAACCACATAAACTTTTAAATAACGATATGTAAAGATATTTATTAAAAAAAAGAATTTACTTTAAAAAAAATTGTTGTAACTTTTCATCGCGATATATCTTTCCTTTTTATAGCAATTAATTTGACGCTAAACTTTTTATCCAAATATTTAGCAACATGAAAAATTGTTTGTCAATCTTTAACTACAAATTTTTTTCGATGTTTTTAATAAAAAGTAGTAATTTTTTAAAGTTTTTAGTAAAAAACTTTTAAAAAATCTATATTCCACATTTATTAATACAGAGTATAAAAGTTTTTTGTAATATAGATTTTTTATGAATTTTTTACTGAATTTATAATAAAAAACATTTGCAAAAAAATTTGTAATTAAGAACTGACATTTTTTTAAATAAAATCTCAAAAAATGTCTTAATATTTTTGTTATCATGATAACAAAAATATCAAGACATTTTTTCGAGATGTTAAAAAAAATGTCTTTGCTTTTCTTATTAGTTAAAGGTATATAGTTTAAGTTTGCGGGGGGAGGGGGTTGGCACAGAAAAAAAAAATTACCTGTTACTCGCAATATTTGAATGAAGACAATTTGTTAAATTTCTTCTGCGTGCGATTCAATAAGTTTTTTTTTTTTCATAAATCAAGTTATATTATAAGGTAAAGAAATCATGAGTAGACTACAACATCCGCTGATGACACTAATATTACGTTGAATATATTTATATAAGGAGGTTTTATTATGCACGCGCACATTACAGGTTCCGTTAAATAAATACTAAGGCACGTTTTAGTTTAATGACAGTCTCCATTTTTTACTAATGAATATGTATTTTTCTTTATAAAACAAAACAAACTAGTATATAAAAACCTTGTATATTTCTATTATCTCTAAATTGTTTAAAGTTCGAATATGGATTGTATTTTGAAGGACAAAAGGTTTACTTTAAAAACTTTTAAATCTTGGGACTTTGCCGATGCGATGATCACAGAAAAAGAGAAGACTTACGTTATTAAAATCAAATGTAATCACATCACATAACGATCACATAACGATCACATAACGATCACATAACGATCTTCATCAAAATAAAATATTATCCAAAAACAATAGTGCCGTAAGGGCAACTGCCCAACGGTTTATAAATAATACAAGTCATGTTAAAATATTTTACCATGTTACTATATTTTAATTAAGTTGATATATAATTAAAAATAAAAATATAGTTCAATAAATTAAATTTATTCTTAACAAAGATTAGCTCATATTTATTCTTTTTTTTATTTTATTAAGTTAAATTGCTTACAAACGAAAAAAAAAAGAGTTTTGTAATTATACATAGAATGAAAATAATTTTGAGTTTGTTTATAAGTTAAGGAACTTAATTTTTAATAAATAAATTTTACGAACGTTTATTTTAAACAGATACGATTCAAATTATCAAATATACTTAATTTATTTCAGTTGAGTATTTTTTTAAGTTTGCACGATTAAAGTTTGGCGTAGAAGTATTTGTTTTTTTGTTTTAAGAATAATTAACAAAAGAGTTTGCATAATTAAGACTTTTATATTTAATTTAATTTTTTTTTTTAATTTCCTAAAATTAAAAAAAAAAAAAGATTTACTCGTTAAAAACGATTTTTCTCTATAGCTCTGTTTCTTTGTGATTTGTTTAAAAAGTTAAATATTTTTACAATAACATAAAAAATTTATGAATTAAATTCCTAGCAAACGCGTTCTAAACTAAGTATCAAAAATATGCTCAAAGCAGACAAAACTT